TGTGTGTGTGTGTGTGTGTGTGTGTGTGTGTGTGTGTAGGAGTGGGGGGTGGTATTTAGATCTCATAGTTGAGGTCTAAGTATGATGTCATTTACAGGCCTCTCTCATCGTTTTAGGTGAGTGAACTTGAACTATTGGTGCTGACTACTTTTTCTCCCCACTGCATCTAACTTAATATGTAGGGCTAATCCTGACAAAACCTTTGTTTGAGAGCAGAGGAATGAATTTTGCTACAGAGGCAGATTGTTAATGTTAGTGACGATGAAAGTTTAAAGTTGTCATCATCGTCTCTGAAAGCGAAGCACTGCCGAATTTACAAGTTGCTGTATGGTTTCTCCTGGTTGTTGTTGTTGTTTTACAATGATATTATTTATGAATAATGTAGCCAAATTTTATACTTAAAATTCTGAAGACATCTTTTACCGCTCCCAGAGAACAACTGCTTACTTTCCTGAAGTGCTGTGTGCGAGTGAAGAGAGTGGGGATGGGTAACAGCCGGTAACAAAACACGCAAATAGCAATGAGTCAGGTTTGGATTTGAATCAGTAGAAACATTTTAAATCCAATGAAAGCAAGAATGTTAACAAATAAATTTGCCAGTAATCTGGCTGTTTAGTGATATTTTCACAGCTGTGGTCTTGACTGGTCTTGAAATAAAATTCAGAGTCCTCAATGTCCGAGACCGAGACAAGACCGAGTACAAATGCAGCCGAGTCCGAGACAAAACCAAGACCATCAAAAAGTGGTCTTGAGACCGGTCTTAAGACCAAGACCGGTTTCAAGTACTACAACACTACTATTCAACCTAAACTACTGAGACATGCCAAGACTTGGTTCATGGAGTCACTGAAGTGGACACCTTGTCCCTTCCTGAACTTTTAAAGTCAAAGAGCTATCATCTTTCCAATGAGGACCTCAGCCTAATTAATGACTGAGGGAGCAGATGGCAAATAAGCAGCGTCACTGTTTGGTTTCTACTCAGGTCCAGTTTAATCACAGCATCTGATTGTCTCTCTAGAGCTAGGGTGTCCAAACTACGGCCCGTGGGCCAACTGCGTCCCGTGGTCCAGTTTTTATTGGCCCGTAGCAAATTCTGAAAATACTGTATAACTGAATATGGCCCGCACAAGAAGTTTGAGCTCAACTCTGTTGCACTTCACAGTTTCAACACTAGATGGAGTCAGTCACATACGGCCCGCGCAAGCACGTACTCCCGGCTGCAGACTGCGGATTAGGATACTAGACRGGGTCGGACGTCCAATGGGTGTGGTCATGGCTTGTAGGGAAGTTTAATAGGAGGCTGAAAAAATTGGGCATGGCTAATTTTAGTATTTAGCATCAGGGGTTGGTTAATTTTAGAGTTGAGGGAGGGGTCAGACGTCCGACCCCGCCTGTTATCCGACCCCGCCCCATACTGCGGTCTGCAGCCAAGGGTTACTACGCACAAGAAGCTTCAGCTCAACTCTGTTGCACTTCTCAATTTCAACACTGGATGGAGCCAGCCACAGAAATGAAATTATAGAGGAGAGGAGAAGAGAAGAACCTTTTTGTGACTGCGACACTGTGTTTAGTTTGAGTCTCCAGAAATGGCGGTGAGTTCCATTTGAGTCTCCGGAAATGGCGGCGAAAATGGCGAAAAATAGCAAGTGAGTGTAGGAGATTTCAAACACGTGGGAAAATGAGTATTTTTTCAAAGAAATCAAAGGAAAGTCTGTATGTTTGATTTGCAATGAAGATGTAGCTGTGATGAAAGAAGATAATGTCCGTTGGCATTATGAGACCAAACATCAGAGCTACACCTCATACACAGGTGCCGAACGAACACAGAAAGTCAAGCAAATGGCAGCTAGCCTGCAAGCTCAACAGCAGTTTTTTTCGTGCTAACAAAATGCAGGGAAATGCCACAACAGCAACTTATGAAGTTGCTAAACTTATCGCACAGCACGGCAAACCGTTTTCTGACGGTGATTTCATAAAGCAGCATCTCATCAAAGTCACAGAAATAATGTGCCCAGAAAAAGTGCCTGATTTCAACAATGTGAGCTCATCCAGAAATACGGTGGTGCGGAGAATTGAGGACTTGTCGGCTAACTTGAAACTTCAGCTGGGAGACAAAGCTTGTGGTGAATTTGAAATACACACATTATTGATGTATGAATGTATCTCATTATTACAGTAAAACTRATCCATTTATGTTTTCATTATTTTACAGAAAATGGTGTGAAGGACAGTTAACCAACCCATCACTTGACCTTAAAACCCCCTCAATACAACTTTATCCCCCCCCCCACCCAGAACCCATGCGAAGCCTAACCACAGTGACATGCCCAATACTAAACAAACACTATTAGACCATTTGCACAGTTGGACTWTGAGTTCATGTCAGCCATCCTTCAATCCAAAGGACAGCAGCACTGTTCCCACTGAGTGCAATGTTCTTCACATAGGTGAGTTAGAAATACACACATTATTGATGTATCGATATGTCACTTCTAGTGTGTGGCCCGRCCCTTTGTTTATTTTTCTGTGTTTGGCYCTCASTAAAAAAAGTTTGGACACCCCTGCTTTAGAGGAATTTAAAAAAGGAGCTTCTCTCAGAATGTGGTAAGGATTCCAAGAAATGTTTCACTTTTACTTCAACGGATTGTAAATTTAGTGCCAGTAAATTCCCAAAATATCAAAYTAGATCATTGAAATGTGTTATCGTAAAAGGATTAGAAAACAAAGAGGTTTAAAAACAACAACCATTCAGAGCTGAAGTGAAAAATATCAATAGCCTTTAATCACCAAAGATATAAACATTTAAATATCCATTTCATAATGAGACTGACAAAATCTTTACAAATTTCGCCTTCGTCTTCTGCTTCACGGCATCTGTACAAAATGAAGTGGCGYTGGAGACTGGCACAGAGAGAGCAAACGTTCCAGAGTAAACAACGTTATCGGCAAAATGAAAAGCAAACTTACAGCAAAAAACATTCAGAGACAAACAATATATACTGATCACTTTTCAATGTTTGGGCTGTTTTTCTTGTAAACTGCRTCATGTGTTCTCACAAGCATCCAAATACATTCAGTTCCTGTTTGAAAACACAAATATCAACCACAATATTCAATCAAACCAACATAAAATAATGTGTAAATTAGGGACAAAAGCAATACATTTCTCATAAATGAAGAAAAAGGTTGTCCCAACATTTGCCACTGACGTATTKATTTGATAAACAGCCTTTAGACGGATAAATAATTTCCTAGTTTTGTATCGATTTGAATTTTTTTCCTAAATAAAAGAGAGATTTATTCAGGCAGTATGTTGCTCACAACTCGAAACTTCTTTGTGCGTTCCCTTGCTGCAAAAAGACCTAAAGTCAAACAAACRTGGGCTTCACTGAAGTCAAACTTTCAGCTTTGTTTGCAGCCGCCACTTCGCGTGCAGTATTCCTGAATGCAGAGCAGGAATGTAAACTACTCATCAGATTATGTACACACATGTTCAAAATATCATGCAAATAAATAGCAGTCATTTGAAACAAAAAATAAATGAATAAATAAAAAAAAATACACAACACTGACCCCAGCAATGGCAAAGTGTTCTTCTGCAGCCTATGAAAAGTTCCTCAAAATCTCATTCTTAAGATTCCAACAGTGTTGTTTCATTGATACAAAAAAAAAAAAAGTACATACTGCAGGTCTTGTTTGTGCTAAAAGTCTTTGTCCTCAAGGTCCCCCGCCATGCTCAGGTACTCGAGAGGAACACAACAGCAGGTAAAGTGTAAATCAACATTCATTCAGTCCTAACTGAGAAGCTCAGTGTGTTTTTCCAGACGGGAGTAAAAATCTGTCCTGCATTTTGAGCCGGAAGCCACAGAGCAGAAACAAAAMGCAGGACGGCAGCAAGGCTGGATTTTGTTCATCAGAAGGCAGGAGGAGACGCCTGCTACTCAACGCATCTGCTGTGCTCTTTCACAGCCGTACTCCTTGAAAAAATCCTTTTGTCATCCTCTGACTGAGGAGTCCTTTCAGAGTCACAGCTCTGCGAGTCCAAGAGACAACCTGCAGGACGATCGTCCCACGTGTCTAAGATCCAAAATGCTCCTGTAATCCAAAAACAATGAGTGCAGCAAGGCACTGCAGGGTGGAACACCAGGCAGACAGAGAAAAAAACATCAGTTTACAAATATTTTCTTTAAAACGTTTACTTATCCCCCTTTAAGTCAGAAGCCAGATTAAATAACATGGAAATACAAGAACTAATGATTCACTGTRAGAGGTCTGTTTCTGGATTTCATTATGTGCGCTTCAACTTCCTGTTTGCAACTTTTACCGCTCCTTTAAAACATGTAGCAGGGATGGGCCACTTAAATGATGGAGGGGGCCACAATTATTTGATGACACTACCAGAGGGCCACAGTGTTGCACACTTACCCTCACAGAGCAGACGTGTGCATGAGGTGCCTTCTGCGTTGGCGCCATCTAATGGCAAACTTTGTTATAACAACCAATTCAGTGCCACTTTTACACATTTTTGTAATTTTCAAAACATATTTTAAGAGCTGTTTTGAGTACTTCTTTAAGCTCAWGTAACAGTAGTAATTAAAGTAAAAGTAATAAGTAATATTGGTCAATAGGCCCGTCAGAAGTAACCAGTGGCCATATGTGGCCCTGGAGCCACCAGTTCCCCATCCCTGACACTGTGTTCAACAAACTGTTAGTATTTGAGGACTTGATCTCCATGTTGGAGAACGATATCCTTACATTCATCTGCTGAACAATGAAAGCTTCTGAGTGTTGTGTYGTGGACTTCAACATCATTTCTCAAAGCAACACTCGTTACTTTTGTTAAAAACAAAGTKTAGAAAGAGAAATAGCGTTGGAGTGACACACTGAAACAGAAACTCTGTCACAGTGAATCACCACCTACAGGTGAATCCGGGGAGCAGTTTGAACACAAAGTACAGCATATTGACAACATTTTCATAACGCCAAAAGCTGTCTAAAAAGCTACATTCCTCATACAGAAGCATACWTAAGTGCATAAATCCCAATTTGACAACTTTTTGGCAATGTAGGTTACAAAAATACGGTGACGAGCTTAACGTCAATCAAACGGCTGTTTTTTTTGTGCTTTCAAGCTCTATCAGTAACAGAATGAAAGTTACTCTGCATTAGAGAAATACTTAATGCTCAAAGAAAGTTTCCAATCTATAATTGCAAATAATGTTTTCCTTTGCTGCTAAATGTTGTAGCTCATAYAGATGCATAACTAGGTTACAAAATCAGTCATTTGTTGATCTGACCTGCTTTGACAACATYTAACTGGACTGGAAGCACTTTGAAAAATCACACCAAGCAGCTGTGGAAGCATTTTAGCAAATCCAAATGCTAATAACCACAACGAAACACATACAGTAGAYGTTTGTTCAGTGATTTGTGTCATACAAAGTCAGGTTTCTTCCTGTTGGCTCTTCTCGATCTGATCTTGTGTGTCAAAACGTCCACAGAAAAATAGCTTTAGGGATAAAAATGAACTTGTTCTTTCCRTATAAAATCTTGTGGGATTTAAAGACAAACACATGCTTTAGAGAGCAGAGGGAGGTCGGTCAGGGTCCGTTCATGTCTGACACACAAAACAACACTGAAACGGTCGTGGCCAAAAGTCAGGAGTGGACTAAAAGACACTGGAGTGAGGATGAGGTTAAGGCTCAGATCTACCGTCGTGTAGGAACAGCTGGAAACGCAGATGTGAAATAAAACTGATACAAAGGAGTTGTGACATTTAATTAGGTTCAGAGCGTTTTGCACGTAAACATTAATGTGTTTTTGTTGGCCAGTCTTTCTGCTGGCTAAAACACACAGAGGGTCATGGCCTGGTTAGAGAAAACACACCACCTATCACTTCTTTCAGGATTGTGCTGTTTTGAAACAACTTTGCAACGAAGTGCAGGATTTAATTTGAATAAAAACCTGCTGAAGGCAGAGAGAGAACCTGGATAATTCACTAACAAACTGTGTTGAAGAGAATGATATTTTGCACAAAAATTAATTTACTAATGCAAGTAATTACCACAAATTTCATCAAATTTAGTTTGTATTGTTGTTACAATTTACTTTAGCAATATCATGAGATTATTTATCAGTGGCAGTAATTTTGGTCGATAAATAAAATTATAATCTGTCTTTTGTCTTTTGTTTTAATAATGTAAACTTGTGTTGTTTTTGCTCTACATTTTGCACCCTCAGATTCTTAAACCAACCCATGAATATAAATGAGAGCGGTTATAAAAAAACACTTCTGGCTGTTATACTATATTAATTTATTGGACTGGTTTGAGCTCCAAATAAAAGCAAATTAATATATAAGAACTGAACACGTGTTAAAGAGCCCAAAGGACAGAGGATGTGTCTGTGCGCACACTCAGTTAATTTATACAGCTCTGAAACTTYTTAAATGTCATAGGACTCATTTTAAACAAACAAAAACAGCAAAAAAAAAAAAAAAAAAAACAGCATCATGGGGGGAGTAGCTCTAAACCTTTTTATATTTATTTAAATATTTGCTGGTGAAAATGCCGAAGCCTACATATAAAACAAACAAAAGACACAAATACATAGAAAATTATACGAAATGACCTTCACCTTTAATTGTGTTTTTAATAAAGACTAAAAATGCAGCTTTGTGATGTAGCATCCTCCAGCAGTGGGACTTCTCATAAATAAACACAAAGTAATTTCACCTGTTTGTGTCTGTTTTTGCTGATTRATTATTCATTGACCTCTTTAAAATACATTTTGGCTGCTGCCTCTTATTTTTGAATGAAAAATGTAACTGTGCCCACGTGAGAATCAAATAAACTTGTCCAGCTGCATGCAGACACACTCTCTTTCCTTTTGTACTCCAGCCCTGGGAAACTGATAAAAGTATAAGCAATGAGGCAAACAGAACAAAACAAACGCACTTGATGCTGACCCAGAGTTTTCTTTCAAAGTGTGCTGCACGGTGAGTTGTTAGCAGGTAGGAGAAAAAAAAAARGGAAAAAAAAACGTCTCAGTCGCCGTTTGATCTGACCTTCAGTAGATCCGAGCCTAAATCCGATGAGATGGAAAATGTCAGAGAGTTTGTTCGGGTGGGAGATGAAAGAGGTGCAGAATGAGCTGAATGGAGAGTAGGACTCCTACAGAGGACTGCAGAGAATGACCCCCGCCACACTCTGACGTGTTTTCCTGCAAAGAGAGAGAGAGAGAACAATAAATCCTCCTCTCCTGACCTAAACACAAAACACATCCTTCTGAACAGGTTCGCATTGTTTAAACAAAGAACTCGTGACATTTTTAGCACAGATTCAGTCTCTTTTTAACAATGTAAAATTGTATTTTTTAAATAGAATATGACTCAAACTTGGGCAACATGGGTCTGACTTAATTACCTCTACTGAGTGCTGCCTTTTTTACACACACAAAAACATCTAATTACAAGCAACCTCTTTAAAATATAAAACTGTCAGAAACACTAAAAGCACATAGAGTCTTTTAAAATCAGTAAAACTGTTTTGTAACTGTGTTGTGTCTTTAATAGACAGCAAATGCATTAAAGTACAAGTAGATTGGATTAAATAATTAATGATTCRATTAAATCAAGGCAAAATGAAAATATCAAATCCACCGATGTGGATCAATACAATATTGTGACTAAAATGAGTAAAATGGTTTCAGTAATTTGATGTAATGCCCATTTTATGTCTCCTAGAATAAGAAAATGGGTATTGCAGTCTATAGTTTTGTATCACCTTGACTACCATTCAGCGGTTTGGTTTTATGCATCTGGGTGAACTGCAGATATTTCAAAATAAAGCTGAAAGATTAGAACTGTTTATGTAATTTTAGAACTAATGTTAATTTCATGCATTAAGGCCTGTCATGGATGAAGGTCAATAACAGACTTGTATGCAACCTTCTTCTCTTTTTACATAAAATCTGGATTTTTCATAAAACTTTTGGCCTTTTTTCACAGTTATTACCCACCTCTAACAAACATGGTTTTAATGGATGACAAGCCTCTGTTGTTACTTTTACGCTACCTGTGCACAGAACTAATGCACTAAAAACAGTTATATGAAGCCATTTTTATTGGAATATGTTGCCATCTAAAATAACATTAATTGATTATCATGATAGATTTAAAAAGAATCTTAAAAAAATATATTAATCATAAAATAACAATAATTTGAATGATGAGTTCTGATTAGAACTGTGAGTTATGAGCTGTTATGTATTCAGTTGAGATTTTATGTTGTGATCATTGAATTTTTTTCAAATGTTTTGCTGGTGTGGACCACAGGGAGAATAGTTTCTGCTATGATGGATCCTTTAAATACATAAACAAATAGATTGATGACATACAGCCATCTAATACAATGATTGTGTTAGATGGCCGCATGTTATTGCATCATATCAATCGCAGACTTGTGAAGTGAAATCATGTAATGACAGACTTTGTGATCGAGAAACATCATAACCTCATTCAAACAAATCAATATAGTATCATATTGTGATGAAGCTGCTGATTTACACCTTTAAAAGTATAATTCTTACTTATTGTGTTTGGACTTACTAAGGCACTGTAATCAAAGCAGGAAGTCGGGCCTTTACGATATCGTGCGTTACTCAGAACTTCACATGGATTTTCCTCCTGAACTGTTTGTCTCTAGTTAAAGAAAGGTTAGCAGCGAACACACATGACAGAGTAGCACAAATGACAACACCTAAATATGTGTGTGTGTGTGCGCACATGCACAGACAGGATACACTCCTTTTTGACCTGGGTCAGACTTTCAATCTCACAGGAGCTGCAGGGCAGCGTCTCGGCCACCACAAAAAGCAGATTGGTGTTTTCTATCCTCTTTGCGTGGAACAGCCTGAGGGGAGACAGTGATGGATGGTGAACAGGCCTTCATATTAGACGGYGCAGGTCTGAAAGTGCTAACATTAYGCACAGTCTAACCTACTTTGCTGACGCTTGAGAAACAAAGAGCACGTACCGTGAGCAGTTCCCACAGTCCTGCAGCATGTTGTAGGAGTTGGTGGTGTTGGTGAAATAAAACTGGCTGTGGATGGTCACGCAGCTGCTTACTTTTGTCTCAAAGCCATCAACAAGGACGTCGTCTGAAAAACAAACAGCTTTCAGCTTTTAATATCTAGACGTTTTTGTTGTAGTTTGCTTTTRATTGACTGAAACCATTTTTCCCTTTTCATATCTACAAACGCAATAATTGTGCTTGACTAGACTGAAAGCTTTTATGGATTCAGAACATGATTTGGTGAYGTAAGAGTGCTTTCATTTAATGCAGATCTTTCAGAGTGAGGTTCTTTTTGAAAGGTTATGAAAAATTAATGTCTTACTTGCTTTAACTAGCTGTTTGAACAGGCTTAGTTTGGAGACACAGCCTTTTCATTTTGTGTTGACAAGCTAACGGCTAAAGTGGAGCCAAAACCAGTGAGTCACTCATTTTAAAACTACTTATTAGTTTTATTTACTGTGTTTAAACGTTGAGATTTTTGCTAATGAAAAGTGTGTTACCAATTAAACTCATTATTAACTCAAGCCTCAAAACTTCCATAATGGTTCATTCAACATCACTTCATGGAAAACTGTCAGTTTTACATCACCTGGTGATTTTGGCAGAAATGTCACAATATTCCAGCTGAAAGTGCCTCAAGAGCTACAGCTGCTGCTTCTCCTGCCATAGAAATCTATGTAGATTACTGGTAAATTAATGTCAGTTTGCAGATGTACAGGCTCCCATTGGACTAGCTGTTAGCTCTTCAGACATACATTTCTCCAAACTGAAGTTAAAGCTGCAGCCTCTATAACAGGTAAGATAATTGTTCTTAACTTTTCCACAGAACCTCACTTTAGGTAATCTGAACTATTGCTTTAAACCCCATTAAACTTCGATCATACATGTCCACACAGTGATTGACTAACCTTGGTAGAGCCAGCTGTTATAGATCAGTCTATACAGAAGCTGCTGGACCACAGACCTTATAAAAGGACATTTGTTAAAGACTGGACTTTATTCAGGAAACATCAACATAACTCTTTATCGATGTGCACAGATCTTTACAGAATAAAATCTGGTTTAAAGGAGRAATCTCACCATGCCACCGTGGACGTCCACCAGGCCAGGCTCAGAACATCAGCGACGGAGGGCTGCAGAAACAAAGAACAGTAAAACAAAGAAAAAGACGGTGACGCTGCTTAACCATCATCGAAACTCTGGCTGCAGGTTGTCGTTTCTCACCACATAGATGCCTCTCGGCGCCGCCCCAGTTTGGCTGCTGCTGACTGCTTCACATTCAGATTTGTAGTGAAAGGACTGGCGGCGGGTGAAGATGGAGTTGTTGTAAAGAGCGTGCATCAGGAAAGGGTCCACGTCGCCAAAGAAGAGACCAATCTGACAGGATGGACAGTTATTTGTTCTTTTAACTTTGGACAGCCGTTCAAACGAACTGAATTTACAAAAACTGAAGCACGATTTTTTCATTTAATCTGAGGATAAAATATGGCATCTCTTCTGAAATACACATTWAAAACTTTAGAACATACCTTTTTCCAGTGATCTCTCTGGTTGGACATAACCAGGAACCCACCGTCATCGATAAGATAACAGAGGAGGTCCTACAGAAAATAAGGCACAGTAAGTCTGATGAGAGAAACCAAACAGCTGTGCTGAGATAAAAACCATCTTCAAACAGTTGCAGCTCTCAAAACTAACTGTTTTTCACCATTTAATCCCGATAGGTCACAAATTACCACTGATCAGTATGCCTTTAATGTTATTGAAGAAAATTTCTTACGTCTGTGTTCACTTCACAGTCCATCTCACAGCTCCTGGATGGTCCACACTGTTAAATATAAGAGGATTAAATAAGAGTTTTATAAGTTTTAACAGTGATTATTGTGTAAAACCCCTCATGACGCTGTCTTTTACCCTGTGTGAACCCTGTCGACTGTCTGACACGTTGCTGGCCAGGATTTTGAACTTGTCCACCCATGCCTCCATGTCCAGCTTCACTCCAACCACTGTGGCACAAAACACAAAACAAAAAGAGAGAAGGAAAGKCAACATGAAAAAAAAGGGAAACGAAATGTTGAATTCTGCATTAGTGCTTTTCTTACCTGCAGGTTTGAGCARTTTCCCTCCTAAATTAACCTCAACAGCTGAACTAACAAGGATTCCAACAGTGTCATTTTCTGCTGCGTCGAGGTCATCAAAAGCTGATGAGGATGAAAAAATTGATTAGATTTAAAAAAAAAGGTTCCTCTCCAAAAATGTTTAATAACCTTCTGACTTACCGTGTCATCATTTAGCTCCCCCACCCCCCCTTAAAACAACCAGTACTGTCTGAGAGAATTCACTCCACTACTTACAGGATCTCACAGGTGGTCTGAACATGTAGCCTTTATTGTCGAGGCTCCGCCTGTAGAAGTTTGAATTAAAAGGTTCAGGATCCTCATCCCACAGCTCAGCAGCTCTGTTCAAACAGAAAACACCCGTCATCGAGGAGAACCTCTTATCTGCAGAGTCAGACGTGAAATTGTTCTAATCTCACTCACAGATTAGGAAAAACTCGTGTGATTCCGCCATCCGTGGATGCAAATACAGCTAGGAAGCCATACCTGTCATTTTTAAAAGTCAGCTTTATTTTTTTTTACTATGAAAAAAAATTGTTTATTTATGAGTTTTTTTTATTTATTATTATTATTATTTTTTAATAACAAACTGACTCACGCATTCAGGTCCTTATTCTTCCATACACGAGAGGCCAGCTGCCCGATAATCCGGGAATCCAGGATCAGGTTGTGGATGAGGCCTTGTTCGCCTAAAAAAGAAACAAACAAAACAAAAAAAAAAAAACACATATTTTTGTGTCTACAGCAGGGTAAACCAGAGTGAATTACTCCTGTCTGAACTCACATTCATCAGACTCTGGAGAAATGTGCAGCATGAGCGAGAGAAAGTTCTGCAAAAACTGTGTGTTGTTGTCCGAAAGCTGCAGATTCTTGCAGTACTCCCTGCACAGATAAAAGCGTGAATCAAAAAWATAAAATAAAGAAAAGAAAGCGTACCTTTTAAGTTTTAAATGAAATCAAAGCAGATAAAAATGGTCACCTTGGAGCTAGAAACACATGCCCCGATGATTCAAAGGAGCTGGGCAGCAACGACTGCATATCTGCAACACAGACACAGAGTAGCAGATGGATCTTTTTAATTCCTGGTTCTGTTGGTTCATGAGGCCGAACACGGCGTCTCTCTGTACTCACACTGCAGCTGCAGCATCACGTCACTCAGGTCTGCCTGGATGTAGTACTCGTTGTAGGGGGGCAACACCAGACCGAGGCTGCGACATATCAGGGAAGTCAAGAAACACAGAAGGTGGAAAATCTCTTTCCTTCATGTCTTAGTTAGTGATTTATGAAGCTCACCTGTAATCCGTCCCATTAATAGGAGTCCAGGTGTAGCCTCTGTATACATCATCAATGTATTGCTGCAATTATATGTTCATATAGGAATGACGTAGTCAGAAACTCAAGGGAAAAAAAGGTCAAATCTGAAATAAACTGGATGAAAACCTCATTTTAAAAGTGAAATCAGGAGAATGTAGATGCAGGAATACATCTTGATCATTCTGGGAACAAAAGCTACACTTTTTGTTTTTTACAGAAGTGATTTAGAGGTTTTAACAGAGTAGGCAGCTTGTTTTATTAGTTATTTAAAATACACATGGTGTGCACTGACGACAAGTGGTGGCAAAACTCCATCAACTGACTCATTGAAGCTGCATCAAACTTTATCTTGTGCTTACAAGGAGACAAGCTTTCTTGTAATCTTTAACAAGAATCTTTTAAAGAGGTCTTGATCAATATTTCAGGTTTCATGAAGGTCTTTCTTCAGCTGTTTACTTCACTCGTTCTGTCCAGTACCTGAACAGTTTCACAGGAACATGTTTTTTATATGATTAAGTCATAAAAAAGCTCCTAAACTCAAGGGATAAACCAGACATGTCAGTAAACAAAAACATAAATCAAGATCAAAATCCTAATCAGTTAATCCYGATCAGCAAATAGTGCGTAGAAAAAGGAGCACAAGTCCAAAGAAATACCTCCATAAAACCCAAAGAACTGCTGATCAAAAGAACACAAGAAAGTTTGTATAAAGAACCACTGATAGCTACAGCCACACTGAGGAGAAAGACCTAAAACATTAACATACCTCATCAAYAGACTTGATAAAAGTTTTGATCTGGATTTCACCTGGTCTTCCGTCAATCATTTGTCGTCGAATCTAACAGTAAAAACACAAATCAGTTCTTATCAGCTACAAATTTTAAAAAAGCAGACACTGAGGACTGATGCTGTGTGGCAGATTAAATTAAAAACACACAAACAAACAAAACCCATCTGAAATTAGGGTTAGAAATAAATTTCCCACTCCACCTCCTCTTTGTTGCTGTCCTCCACCTCCGCATCCAGGAAGTCCAGCGTCACTGGTTCAGGAAGGTTGACGAGCTGAGAGGAGTAAAGATGTCAGCAAAAAAAAAGTGAAACATGTAAACAGCTGTTTTTGAGCTAAACAAATCACCTTTGGCTGAAGGTTCGGATGAAGGAGCAGATATCCATTTGGATCGATTGCAAATATGTATCCATTGGCTCCGAGCTGCTCCAGACACACACACAAAAAAGAGAATAAAACATGTTGATCTGCTCTGACGGACAYGTCAACAAGACAAATGAAGAAGAAATGTGCATACATTATAACGTGGCGTGAGTCGTTTGATCTCGTCGAGATGCACGTCCACTCCCATGACGCCTAAAATCAGCTGATTCTAGAAAAACAATGAAGAAAACTATAAAAAATAGCCCAAATGAACTGCCACGTTTAAGAGAATCAAGCTCATTTTTAGTAAAAAAAAAATAAAAAAATAATAAAAACATCTCTACTTGTGAGTTTCCATTCATGGTGAGGTTAAAAACAGGTAAAGTTCCAGTCACGACCAGGCCGAGACCCTGCAAAGATTGTTGTTTTGTAAAAAAAAAAAAAAAWTTATTAATAAAATCTAAAATGCATTTAATTCTTTTTCACTGTGTTCATCCCTCCAGAGTCTCACCAAAGCATCCTGATACACATTAGTCCACTGAACCTGCTTGGCCTCAGTGCCTGCCAGAACCATGGGGCGACCCAGCACGTCCAGGTACTCCTGAGCAAACGCAGAAACACAAAACGTGACCGTCCGCCGCTTCAAAACAACCATCATCATCATCATCATCATCATCATCAGGAAACAGAGAGAACGGACGTGCCAAGAGAAGGAGCTGTGATGAGTTTCCAGAGAGGGGATGAGTGCAGCAAGGAGAACTGAAAAGACTGAGGAGGGAATCAGCTGTGTCAGAGGAACCAGACAAACCCACCTGGGTGTTAATCCTTATAGCACAGATGGAACGGATCTCAAAATAGTAACCTGGCGAGTGAAGCAGAAAAAGAACATTTTAAAAAAGAAAAAAGGGGGAAAAGAGAGAAAAGGCATAGAGTGAGAGCAGAGAAAATACATGAGGGACCCTTAAAAATAGTTCCCATTTGAGGGAAGAATGTTTCTAAAACAGTGAGTCAGATATTTAAATCTCACAGACAACAAGACCGAAGAGGACTGCGCTTTAAATGTCAGCTGTGCTCAGTCTAAACCATCAGCTGGAGGTGGCAGAACTGTTAAAGGTTGGCTCTAAATCCAACAGGATTTGTTTAATTCAGTCTAATTTAAAAAAATCTATTAATATGATACATCTTGTCAGAAATTTTTTTTAGTAAAAGCCAGGAAAAGAAAGATGAGAGGAACACTCTGCTGGCACCTAATGACTACCATTTTTTGTAGTTTATTTTGTTTCTGTCTTCCCTAATTTTAAAACTAATCAAGATAAATTTCCACCTAGCACAGTGAAGCGAGTGTGTGATCTCATATCTAATTGTAAAAGATGCAGCCAGTTACAGCCGAGCAGAACAAGCCTCCCACTTATCCATTTTATTAGCAACAATTAGTCATTAAAAAGCAGAATAGAAACTGATTCATTCGGTTCTATTTATTACAAAAATCATTTATAAATTCAAAACAGAGAGATCAAGAAGATAATAATATTGGGCCTCATGCAAGAACATGTT